TACTTTCAAAATGTAACCTCTTTTTGATTAGACAATTGAAGGCAACATGTCTATCCTTGTTACAAAAACTACATGTAATTTTTGGAATAGAGGATCTTGATGCTTTGACAAATATATTTTTGAGAGATTTTTGTTTTAAAAAAGGATTGCATCCAATTTCTCTTTTATCGAAAACACACTTTTGTTCACTAAGTATTAAATCTAAGTTCTTCTTGCCTCGAGTAAACTTGTAAACAACATCAGTTAAATCTTCAATCTTTTCTTTCAAAGAAGATTTTTTTATCAATCATAGATTTGTAATTAACTTTTTCCTTTTCAAGATCTTTTTATGTTACCAAAATTTTATTTACTTCTTTTAACAAACAATGTTTCTTCTTAAGAATAGAATGATTTAAAGCGCGTTTTTCAAAATTTTCAAACGAAGTAGATAATGACAATAAGAACAATTATCATTTGAATCTAACTTATTATTAATGGCCATAAAGCACACGTTGGCAATTTCATCTTGATTTTTATTTTCTTCAAGAACTTCATCATCACTCTCATCCAATGTTGTTTGGAGAGCTTTATTTTTGGGGAATCTCCTCTTGTTGGGACATTCAGTCCATTTGTGACCGTGTTGTCACAATCATAGCAAACAATCTTTTTGCTCTTTTCTTCATCATTTTTTTCTTTCTTTTGGAACTAATTATTGCAAAAGCCTATCCACTAACAAGATCATCAAGTTTTTCATCACTCATGTTTCGAATTGAAGTGCCTTCATCAATTGATGATTTTAAAGCAATTTGATGTTTTAGAGGCTCATTTGTTTATTTTTCTTTGCTCTTTCTTGTTTTCTTCCATGTCTTAGCATGATTTAGATCATGGGTCATCAAAGTTCCGTAGAGGGTGTTGATGTCTTTTATGTTTTCTATTAACGTACTTAATGAGCTCCAATCTTCCTCGAGAGACCTAAGTATTTTGCTTAGAAATTCACGATTAGTAAATTTTCGATCAAATCCTGTAAGACAATTAACAATGTCAGTAAAACGAATGATCATGTCATCAGTCGATTCATTTTACGTATGAATTTTTTTTTCAAAGTCTTTAACTAAAAGATTTATCTTAGTTCCTCTTACTTTGCGAATAGCAATACAAGTAACTTCTAATACATGCGAACTATCATATACAAAATCATATAGGTTAATACGATTAAATTCATTTTTATTTAAAGCACAATAGAGCAAGTTTTTGACTCTAGCATTTGTAGACAACTTTCGTTTATCCTCTTCATCATACTTTTCTCTAGATTTCAAAATAGTTTCATCCAATTTCCCATCAATCTTAATAACCTTTGTATGCCTATGAGGACCAAATTCAATAACCTCCAACATGTTATAATATATTGATTGAATGTATATCATCATTCTAGCTTCTCAATAGTTATAATGTGTACCATCAAAGAAAGGAGAATGATTAGAATGTCCCTCAATAGTTGAAAATTAGTGTTAGCCATTACTCAAGATTATAATGTCTTAAAAATAAGCAACTTGCTCATATACTAATTAAAAGCCCAAGATGATTAACCAAAAGGGGAGTGAACTAGTTTTTAGAAATTTTTCGAAAATTAATCTTATATCAAGTAAGTTAAGAACATATAGATTAATCAACTAATGATCGTACATGAAATCATTGTAAGTAAAAGGTAAGAAAGAGAGCGGAAACGATATAATTATGGAAGTTCAATCTAAATCAATGATATACATCTTTCGTAACCAAGCTCTTTGTCACGAGCAGGGCATTTTCAATATATTGATTTGACTTATGGTACAATTGAAAACCTTATAATGCTTTCGGTAACATACCAAAAAGGAGTATCGATCTTTATACAATATTGAGCTTTCAAGGGACCTCAATATGACCTAAAAGTTCGAAGAATGATTTTACAATGAAGATTCCCTCTTAATAAATGCTACAAATGAATTAAGTACTAAGAGAGACTAACGCTTCAATGAATAACAATAAATGATAGTTCAAGTGTAAGATGAGAACATTATGAATGAGTATAATGATTTCAAAATTTGATTCAATCAATCAAGATTTTTCAATGTGAATAAGTAGATGAAATAAATAAGATGTAGTCTCAAATGATTTTGTTCAAGAATTTCTCTTTAATGTTCTTCGATATTCTTATGGTGAAAGCAAAAATAAATGCTATTTATAGAGTTGAAAAAGCAAAAAATTTATGGGAGATTAGATAAGTGGTTGGGATATCCGCCTTGTGTTTGGACGCAAGGGACTAGTTATTGGAAGTTAGACATCAGAATGGTCAAAAAATTTGACCGTTGCAATTGCCAGAAAAATGCCCAGTGGTTCCGAATTTTCGACTCGTGAATTTTCTTCTTTTCAGTTTCGTTCGACGGGAATGTTTTGAAAAATGTAAACTTTTGGAAGGCATTTTCAAATCATTTTTCAAGGTAAGTGATATTTTAAAATATGATCTAAGTTCAAGTGTACACTTTGACAAACAATTTTACCTTTGATCAAAATATTTTATGAAATTGATTATCAAAATAGCTTTGTGGTACATAAGATTGTTTTAGAGCATTAATAATTCATTACTAAACATCAAAGTGCTAATACCTTTGCATATGAACAAAAACGTCTAGTCCATGATCTTTCTTTATCGTTCGACTTTTATGCTTTTGTCTTGAAGGATATGACTCAAATGCTTGACTTTGATCGTTACCTTCATTGTGAGTCTGATTTGTAGTGTGATAATCTTGATTATGACCTCTAGACGATGATCGATCAATTTGTCATTGAATGCCTTTGAAGACTGCTATCACTCAAATTCAATGTTAGAAAACACGATTAACTTGTTCGTTATTATCGAAACTATAAGGTTGAAGTCAACCATAGGTCAACAATCTATGCCTAAAATTTCCTCGTTTGTCATGGACAATCTCGGAGGTCTGTAAGTAATACTGAGATCATGGTCTGTAGCAACTGCCTCCGGAATAGTTACGTCATCCTTCCAAACTATCTCCACTCCACTGTGTCTCAAAAGTTATCCACATTACGATCCACTTCATCAGTTGCTTCATGTTTATTCTCATGGATATTCCTTCTTCACAGTTACGCAAAGAGGAGAAACAGTGATGTTTCTATAGTTGAATCACCTTACATAAATTTTAAAAGTAATCTTTATCAGTGGAACCGAGATATTTGAATGGTCGAAAAATATAGATCCCAAATACATCTTGTATTCAGCGGGATCAACATTGAGGAGGTTTTATAGATCATGATACATTTCTGTATATGATGTAGTCAATATATTAAATGAATTGCAGAAACATCTTCTCATCACTCGTTCATTTTCATGACCATCGACCGTTTTCATTCTTTTGAAATTCACCAAAGTAACAAACTAGGATGAGTACCGATTCCATATTTGCATTTTAATTCAAAATAAAGAAATTTAGATGAAGAAGATCGAATAAAAACAAATTTTCCAGAACGTCGGCTTCCGTTAACTGATGGCCAAATCGTCTGTTATTGGACGATCCAAACAGTGTAAGTTTTCATCCTTTTTTCCTTAAAAAATTTATAGATTTGTCCAATAATATACAAAAATAGGTCTAAAGATGCTAAAACAAGTCGAAAGAAAATTTAACAATTTAAAAAGTAAACTAAACTAATGAAACCAAAATTAAGTATAAGCAAAAGTGCAAATGTACTTATTGATTAATAATGTAATATTGGTGTCTAATGAATATTCATGAGATCTTTGTGTTGACTTCTGGAATAAGTTCTCGAGGTTTCAGTGCTGAAGAAGACAAAGAATGAAATAGTCATCAGTTTTAAATTTGAATTAGGATGAGTTATTTTTCATTTCTAATTGGATATTAATATCTTATTACCCTCGGCTTATTTTAGTAAGGGTGGTTATATTTGCACCACTTTTTTTTATATATATAAATACATTATATTTTAATTACATTTGAGGTCATTAACCTTTATTCATTATCACACTTATATCCTTGAAATTTTTTTCTTCACCATATTCTTATTTATAACATTTCATTGATTATAAAATCTTGTCTTTATTCATGCTTTTTGTCCAAAAATATTGCTAACGTGTTTTAAAATGTGGATCAAATATTTAATCTCATTTTTACATTATTATTTGTTTTGCTTATTTAGAAATATAATGGATAAATGAGTATTTTTACTCTATTTTCCTTTAAATAAAGTCAAAACATGTTTATTGATATAAAAGTACCACTATATATTTGTTTTACAATTATTTTATATAATAATTTAACACGTTAAATATAAAAGAAATTGGAGATCATGAACAATTTATGTTAATTTGAGAGTAAGAATGTTATGAAAAAAACAACACTTGAGACGTAAATATGGTAATGTATAAAAGTTATGAAATTTTCCTGCAATTAAAATATTTTCAAGTTATTTAGAAAGTATATTTTGTCTTTTTATGTAAAAGAGGCATTTATTACTTTATGCATTCTAAGTTAGGCTTATCCCCTAAATCATTGTAAGTTAAACTTCACATATTTAACAAAACCAATAATATAAAATATTACCCTAAAAATGTAAATTGACCCTAAAAGTCAAACATTACAATTATTTTTAAAAGAATAGAAAATAATATTTCCAATAATATAAAATATACACACACTTGGGGTACCATTTTCATTCTTTTCTAAACCATATGAAGTATATTACATGCTTAGAAGAAAGAAAGAGAAATCCAAAAAGAGTAAAAGCAAAAGAGATTTGACAAACGAAACAAAACCAAACGAAAATGGGAAAAGTCAAGCAAATTCTTATCCATAAATAATCTCATTAGACTCTTGTCCACAAATTATTGGCAACGTGTCAACATCTTCCCTATCTTATTCCCGTATGTTTCAACGGTTCCGATTTTCTCACAACTTTAGCAGTGCCACACGTTGTGGGTCATTTATTGTCTCACACACATGGATAGACATTCTTCACCTAGATAAAGCTAGACGGAGCTCTTCCGCCAACAAATTAGGGGCACTAAGGTGGGGCAAATGGCCCTCAACATCTAACATATGCACCGTGGTCCGCCCTCCAAGGTGGTTCTTCAGATAAGTCGCAACTGACATCGGCACCGACACGTCCCTAGCTGTTTGAATTATGGAACATGGCACCTTCACTAGGCCTAATACACCCCTTAAATCACTATTAAAAACAATTCTTGATACAAAAAGTGTTATGTCTGGCCTCATGTTAAATAACGTCCGACTAAATTCCCTCACTGCCGCCGGCACGTCGGCTCCCACTGCTAGCGGAGCAAACCCATTTACCCATGCCTCATAATTCGCCTCCATTGCCAAGAACACACTCTCAATTTCTCTTTGTTCAAAACCACCATGGTAGTCTCTATCATTCAAGAACCTGAAAATACATTTTCAATATTGATTAGTGATTACTTAGCTTCGTTTTAAAAAAAAAAAAAAAGGAAAGAATAGATCTGATCCAGGAGTGTTGTTTTGCTAAAAACTTGTGCAATTTCTCGAAAATTTATTTGAGAGATGAAAGTTGCGAATAATCACTATAATAGTTACGATTAAAACGGGGCTTTGAGTAGTTTCTAAGCAAATCAATGAACTTTATTGAACTATCATTATATATATTGATAAGATGCTTTCCACTTTATTGGCACTTTAAATAAAAAGACTCAAAGATTCCCATTTCTGGGCTGGTCTACACACAGAGTAAAATTTGTTACTTTTTGTCTATCCAAGTATTTCAAGATGCAACAAAACTTTGATAAATTACCTTGGAGAAGCACCTATGAGGATGAGTTTAGTGAAGAGCTCTGGGCGGCGAATAGAGGCCAAAATCCCGATCATGGCAGAGACGGAGTGACCAACATAAGCACAACGCTCGACACCAAGAGCATCGAGGATATGCAGAAGGTCATCTACATAGGCATCTAGAGAGGTGTAACGACGAAAATTGAAGCTATCGGGGTTAACACTGCCCGCACACACAAGGTCATAGAGGACAACACGATAATCACGCAAGAAAAATGGTAGAATGTGCTTCCATGCGGACTGATCCGTGCCGAAGCCATGTGCTAGGACAAGGATTTTCTTCCCAGAGCCCTCCACTCGCACGTTCAAGGCTTCTAATAGGCTTTGGCCCATAATCTTTTAGATTTAAAAATGATGAATATGAGGGAAAAAAATTGGTGGGTTTTAGTAGAGACTTTAGAGAGCGGAAGTGTTTGCCTAAATTTTGTGTGAGTGGATTTTTTTCACATATATTAGTGTATGTTTGGTCTGATATTTATATAGGTATATAGAAAGTATATCTACATTGGAAGTATTTGCTAAGGTGACTTGGAATGTCTAGTTTGAGAAGGTGACAGCTGAATCTTGAATGTGTATTTTGTGCTAACCCCAGTGAAATTGTGCGTTGGTTATGGACCCAAAAAGAATTCTCTACTACATTGTTGACTTCAGAGGATGTTCCCATATAGCTCCAAAGTCAGAGATTTCTTATTACAAATATAGGTTTTACATATTTGCAAACTTGAACACCTAAAGCATGCATGAATGTATTTCTTCACCTCCGAATCTGGTTAGGACCCCACGTGTCAACAGATCCCACCTTCCTCCTCTCCAAGCGTATGTTGCCTGCACATTTGAAATCCACGCGTTAGATGCACAAGATTGGAGCCTCTCCAAACACACAGGGACGAGGGAGGCCATGATCGCACGTGCTTCGATGCTCTAGTCTGTCGCAAAAACGATAGTAAAGTGTATTTAGTGTGGTTGTTACACTTCGAAAAGAGAATATAATTGGGATTCAGGTTTGTATTTTGCAGGAAATGAGAATATTGAAGTGTTGATTACCCTTGAATGGGACCAAGTGTAAGTACTTAAATGCGAGAGAAATGAATGGAGGTTCTTTGGATGCTTAACATAGCGTTATCCCAATTATGCGACCTAGCACACTATCCTAAGCAGGCTAAAGAATCTATGCACTCAACTGCCATCTCAGACAACGTCATATCGATCACCTCTCATGTAGTTCCATAAGTTACAACCATCTTTTACACAAGGGCTAAGGGTCGATTTTAACTTCTTTTGTCATAGAGACCCTTGTTAGGCCATTAAGAATTTAAAATACAAAAAGGCCTTAGAGAAGAAAAAATGACACCCTGGCATTAAGTCATCTATCCTGGAAGACTTTTTCGACGAGGCATTGTGCAATGCCTTTAACGTCTTAGAAAGTAGTTTTTGACGAGACGATGTGGCATTCCTTCATCACCTCGGAAAGCCAGTGCATAGCATCAAGCTCAGAAGGTGGCCACATCGCTTGCCATGTAGGCAGATGTGTAACAATATTCCTTCAAATCCAAGGTCTTTATTTTTAATATAAGGCATTGTAATTCAAATCTAGGGTTTTAAAAAGGTATTTACATATTGTCCTAGATGTTTCTTGTAGGGCCACTTTGACATCTTTATTATAATAGAATTTGCATACACTAGATGAAGCAACAACAAAACAAATTGATAGAATAGATTGAAAGAAATTAGATTGTTAAATCCAAGATCAAAAAATAAAAGGAATTGCACTATTTGTGGCACGTATGAAAATGTCACATACATTTTAGCATGGAGCTAGTTTTGAGTAATTAAATCCTATTTGCTACCAATGTTTAGGAGATTTTCTAACAAAAAAAGAACGATGTCTGCAGTATAGAGTGAAAACTACATCCGAAAACCAAAGAAAAGATAACAATAACGATAACAGAAGAAGGGATACTAAAAAAAGAAAAGACAAGTGTTGTAGGCAGCATAAGAATAACTATAGCACTATTTCTGTACGGCTAAGCCTTGAATACTTAATTCAGAATTAGATTTCTAGCGATTTATTACTTTAGTTGAAAGTTGGGACATTTAAATATAGGCATAACCATCACATATTGAGATAGTGACTTTCATTGGTGAATTCCAACCAAATGTGAGCGAGAAAGGAAAGAGTGTTGTGAAATCAACCTTAGAGTAAACATCTTGGGTGAGAGTTAAAAAGACGTTTGTGGGTGTGCATCCTACAAGAGAGAGAATTTTTTTTTTTTACCATTGAGAGTCGAGAAATAACCAAATAAGAAGTTCATAACGATTAGGTTGAATATGTACACACACATCTATACAGCATAGATTGAGTAAAATTTGATTTTGGTAGTATTACTTAGGTAGTTTTTTTTTTTTTTTTTTATCAATTGTCAAACAGGTGCAATATTTGAGGAATATATGACAATTATATAATGCATCGATGTTTATATTTATTTGCTTGTGGGTTAAGTAGATAGTTTTGTTCATGACAAACAACAGTTTAAGTTTGGAAGTATTTGATAACTATATTTTATTCACTTGTTCAAGCTAAATTTAATTAATTATGTATCAATTGAGTGAATATCTGCCTAATTTAGTGTAAATATAATTAATTGTAGGTAAAACTCCAACTTGGATGCAAATGAGGTGAAAAAGGCATTTTGGAGCTAAAATGTGGTTGATTTGGAGCAAATTGAAGATTAACCAGAGTTTACATGATTAATTAGAAGAATCAATAGAGCATTCACAAGAAATTCATAAGTTCTAGGAGTTTAATTCAACATTTGAAAAGTTGCAGGACTAAATTGCAAACTTTTAGAAATTGCATCAAATTAATACAAATGATTTTAGAATGTGGAAGATCAAAGTATAAAGACTTAAAGATGAAGGATCCATGGTGGAAATAGAACGGGACTCGAGCTGGACAAAAGAGGGACAAAATTGTGAATGGAGAAAGAGTGTCAACCTTGCGATCATAAGGCTTGATCCTTGCGATTGTAAGACACAAGAAAATTTCAACGAAGAGCTAAACATTTATTTTGTGTGATTGCAACACATTGCACTATACGATCACATAGGTTAGTCCGACAGGGAAAATCTAGTTTCTTTGTTCGAATCAACTTCTATTTTTAAAGGAATTTGGTCATGATTTTTTTACCTATTTTTTGAGTTTATAAATACATACTTTCATCAACAATTAAAGGGGGTCTTGAGATAGAATATATATAATTTTTGCAATGAAGAAGCTTAAGGAGGAAGATTTTGATCAAATAACTCCATATTCCTTGCAAACTTTATAGATCTTTTGATACAAAACACATTTATATATCAATTTCTTACATCAATTGCTTGGATGGAAGAAGAAGAAGATATTAAACAATTCAAAATTTCTTTCCAAGACAATTCACGATTTCTTTCCTATCTTCTTTCTACTCTTTGATTCAGGTGATGTATAAATTAACGTAGTGATTTTGTATTATTATGATGCTTGGTTAAGAGTAAAAATGTTAGGACAATGTTGAATCTTATGTTTTGAAATTTTGTGATTTTCTCTCTCTCTCTCTCTCTCTCTCTCTCTCT